CAGAAGCCATTTCTCAAAAGCTGTAAGTTGTCCTGGAATAAGTGGATCAGTGAAATACTGCAGCATACTCATGCAAGTGCAAAGGAGGAAGGTTTGACATGTGAAAAGATCTGTTTACTACAAGCTTTTTGCTAGAATGGTCACAGAGGAAATAATTCTGACAACCTAATAATCCCTATTACATTTCTGTGGAGGAGAATTGTTGTGTTATTGTCTCTGAAAGCTATTGTTTCACTCTCTTTCTACACTTGTGAAGACTATCCTGCAAATTTCTTCAAGATTTTATTTCCGTCTGTAACAACTGTCTGTTATAAAAGTGAAATTTCTGAAAACACAGAATTGAACACAGTTGTGGATTTCACAGCCTAAGGAATGCAGAACATGTCATACACCTGTTCTGCTAGTGGACTTCTGTGACTACACATTAACAGCAGCATTTTCCCTTGATTTGGTATACTGCATGTGTTACATAAATAATGCCAGAATTCTTAATGTACTTACTTTTGGTTTAAAAAACTTCAACGTAGGGGTTTGTTTCTCATGGTTTTGCAAGTGTTACCTACGCAAGTGTGTGCTACAGCTGATGTTTCCCTGGAGCTCAGCTTCAGTGTTCTGGTGAATTTTTAATATGAAAAGTGTGTTTCTGCCAATTTCTACAGTATAGACTCCATTTATATTCCAAGAAGAAGGAAAGGGAAATGAAATCTCCATTAACAAAAACATCTTGCAAACAAAAAATCACCTAAACATTTCACTTTGCACCTTGGCACATCTTACTTGGTGTGTTGGCAATCTTAGACATTCCCAGCCACTGCTTCCATATCCCCATAAGGATGATCATATCAAAGCAATACCTTACCTTTCCATGGAAGCTTCGTGTCGGATGCGTTTGTGTAGATTAAATATCTTGGTAGCAAAGTGATACAATATAAAGTATGTAAAACTGGGATCTCAGGAAGGCCAATGCAACAGGGATCACAATCAGTCATTTAAGTTGCAAAATCTCCCTACATAGAAATTTCTATCTTATTGAAATCATGTAAAAAAGAAATCCTGTGGGTCTCACTGCATTGCAGAGACTGTTGGAATATGTAAGTGGGTGAAACTGGTGAGTGAGGGAGTCGGGGGCTAAAAAATAAGATGGCATGCACAGAACTGAGCCATGCAGAGATGGGGAGGTGCAAGAACGCGTTTAGAACTGGAATGGAAATCAACTTTGTTTTCACTGAGCCTCTTGTGTGCTGCCCACGCATTAGCCTTTGCTCACACTACTTTACACATTAAATATTTCTCAGATAAGGAGGAGGGAGTGAAAAACAGTTATGAAACATATGAATTAAACTTCGGTGGTGGTAGATATCACAATCTCTCCTCTCATTTGCCAAGTCTTGTCAGATACAATTAAGAAAAATTGATGTTTTTCTTTCCTATTGATACTGGGATGCTAAAATGGAGGTCTAGATTTCTAAATGTAAGCCCTGTACCCACACATTTCCAAAGTCTATGTGCCATAAAAGGTTTTTTAGATTTGAGATATATCAAAGGGTATATAGAAGAGGAAGGAACAAGTCTGGGAAGGTGCATGTTATTTCTGATTTTGACCATGTGAAATTTATCAGGGAAAAGATAAATAATGCTGTATTTAAATGCCCTAGTGTGACTTAATCTTCATTTGAGATTTCAAAATCTATTCTGTAAATCTGTCTCGTACAGAAGAAACTGTAGATGGTAGAGTCTTAAGTGTTAGCATCATTTTTGATATTAAAATTCAAATTGGCTTGATAAAATTATTGGATCAACCTGCTTCTCTTTTTTTTGGCAATAGATAAGATATGCCCCTTACAGTTTTTCCTGGCTTGAATACACATAGAAATTCTGCAGCACCCGAAGGGAAAATGTTAATTCACTTTGATCAGGACCTTCTGCATAAGGGCTACATAGGTACTTGGCATCCATCTCTGTCAGCAGGAGTTTCTTGCAAGTCTGAGTTTCAGGACATCATTTGTGACAGAGGAACATGGTGCTGACCTATTACATTGAGTTTGTTTGATTAAGTTTATGCTTAACAAAGGTTCGTTAATTGTGGTGATTAATCGTATGCTTCTACACTGTGTTCAGTGAATTTTTCTTCTATCCGGGAATAGCATTTTTTTACACTAACCGAAGTACTGTGTCAGTCTTAATGAGGTAATTATTGTTGTTTATCTAGATGAACGTGTCTGAGGTTGGTGTTTTTACATTACCCAGGAGTAACATCAGCTCAGCAAATAGGTCATTCCTGGCAGCTCTTTGCTGATACAATTTCCTCTTTCTTTTTCTCTGTGAAAGCTCTGTAAGCAGTACTCTGATATTCAAAGGGTGTGAGGGAGGTAATGGCTGTGCAGAGAACCAGTATCGCTTGCACTTCTAACAAACATGTGCTTTTAAACCATTTCATTAGATATTTGCATGTTGCTGTGTGATCATGTTTTTAGTATTCCCTCTGTCGCCACGAGATGGGGCAGGTGACCAGGGAGCGCTAGGGCCGAGGAAGGAATGACATGAAGCAGATGGAAACATTCCTAGTTATTCCCTGTCCCGTTTTCTTTGGTCATTTTCCTCACCATGAGGGTGGTGAGGCACTGGAACAGATTGCCCAGAGAATGGGCATCCCTGGAATTGCTCAAAGCCAGGCTGGATGGGGCTTTGAGCAACCGGGTCTAGTGGAAGGTGTCCCTCTCCATGGCAGGGGAGTTGAAGCTCGATCTTTAAGGTCCCTTCTAACGCAGACTATTCAGTGGTTAAAACTACCCTTTGCACCATTGAAAATAAAAGTTTGCCTTGTGTTTTAAACTCTCTGAAAATTATTTAAAATGTCTAAAAATTCTTTTAAAGGAAGAAAGGACACCTTTTTTGTTTTGTTTGGGGTATTTTTTAGAAATGAAAATCCAAAATGCCATAGAATTTCAAAAATGAAATAATTTTTATCAATTGGCTATCTAGCCCATTTCAAAAGTATAAAATTAAAAAAAAACCCCAAATTAAATTAAAAAACAAAAAAACCCTACTAAAGATTTGAAAGACATTTTTTTTTCCCTTGGAAAAATAATGGGTATTTAAAATTCGTAGGTTAGCTTACTTTTAATTCGGTGAAAATTTCATTGGGATTTCCCTCACAAGAGATTTTAGCTGTAAGTAGAAGTTTTTCTTTGAACTAGTTTAAACTAAGGCCCTCTTTCTTGTCACGCACAGACAGGGAAATACTGCAAGATGCTGGATTAGCTTGTTCGCTTTTCATTGTTTTCTTTTGTAGCAGCAATCCGTTTAGCTATGGTATGCTGAGTTTATCTGATTAGCACTTAATGAGTGAAGGGAATAGGGGCAATGTTGCCTGAGTTACTTAACCCTAATAAAGTTTTCACTACCTCCCCCCTCTCTCTAAATACCTGAACTTTCCTGACCCCCACCCCTTGCCTTTTCTCTCAGCTGCAGCTCATTCCCATAGGAAATGCACTCGCTCTGCAGCTCTGTCAGCAGTAGTGCTGCCATTAGCTGGATTTTGTCCAGTGCACATTGGTCACAACAAACACCCTGCTCAACAGTGTTTGACAGTCTGTCTGGAGCTCTCACAAACTCAACTGCTGTTCTGCTGACTCCCTGCCTTACCTGGGAACGCTTACTGACCAAAACATGCAACAACCTGTAGCATGAGTATTTCTAACTTAAAACCATTAGATATAAGCGTAAGGAATAAAATAATTTGTTGGGTTGTTTTAGCAATGACATTTTAATGAGGATTCACTGGAGCTTGAATAATTACATTATATAAAGAAATTAAGAAAGCTGATGTTTAATAGTACTTAAAAACTCTGTGTTCCATATAGATTGTGGTTGTGTTACCATAATTAACTCAATGAGCTTGCATAACTCATGTTTTCCTCAGGACTTCAACTTGGTTTCTCTCCTTTAGGATTATTTTTTATTTTCATTTGGTGTGGTGTTGTATTGTAAAATATTTTATAAAAAAGCAAAATTCTGAAAAATAATAGAAAAATAATCTACATGAGGTTTTGCTGCTTAACTATTTAATTGCTGGTTCTGTTACTTTTATACAGAGGTGCAAAGTTGCCTTAATACCAATGAAAATAGGTCCAAGGAAACTACAATTTATATCTCTGCAAGAAATTCCTTATGCATAGAGGTTCTATAACTTGAAGAAATAAGAAAGCAATAGAAATTTAGGTGAAGTGTCAATAAGATACTAGTGTTGCTTAGGAGATGTGAATCTTTATAGGTTTACCTCTGAAAGTATTTTCACTTGTACCTGCTTAACAATACAGATATTTTATAGAAATTATCTCACATTTCTTTTACCAATTTATGATAATCAAAGTAATAATAATAGAAATAATAATAATAATCATAGCAATAGACATCTAGTAATAGCAGTAGTGATCGTGTTAGAGCAGAATGTGTGTGTATGTTTTCAAATTTTAAAGATGCTAGAAGAATTTCAGAAGTGCAGGAATGCACTGAGGTATTTGAGAAGGGTAGAAGGCAACTGTGAATGTTTCTGAGGTCCGTACAGCTTCCTACTGGGCACACCCCAGGCATTTGCCTTCATGGGTGAGGTGCTGCAGCTGGTTGTGCTCATGTTCCCAGTGAAGTGCAGAGCACAATGTGTCAAGGTAAACTGCTGTCAATGGTAGAGCCATTCTAGTGTCACACTCTCAACTAAATTGCTGAAACTTTGGAGGAGAAATCTGGTTTTTCACTTAATTGACAACCCAAATAGAGTCATTTAAACTTCTCCTTGTTTCCATTGTTTTGTTTTGGTTTGTGTTTTTGTCTGTTCCTGAATATGTATAGCTCATGCCAAACTTCCATCCAGCCATCCAGATGGCTGGAAAAAAACCAAATGTAAATGTATACATCAGGTATTAAAATATTTTGTAATTTGATTCAAAGGTTTATTTAAATCACAAAAAGTATGTGTGTGTGTTTTTCTTTTCCCCTCTCAGGTTTGCAATTATGTGTGGCTATATGTCTCAGTTTGAAAGTGTACAAAACAAAATCAGGAATGGTTATCTCTTTAAGGTATGTTTTTGTAGGATTTGGGGTTGTTTTTTTAAAGCTATTCCTTTAAGTTATATCCTTATATGGTGTCAAAGGCAGGTATTTCCAACACAGTAATTCAGCCTCACAGGTCTATTTTGGTGCTGAAGTTAAATCAAAAAGGTCATTATTATGTACGCAGATAAATTATATGCTTGCAAAATATAAGAATTGAGGTAGGATTCTGGGAACAGCATTAAGATTTCTGATTTCCTTTGTAGTCAAAGGGGGGAGGAAAGGCAATAACGATTCTGTTTAGAAAATCAAAACTTATGATAGAGTAAGTGATGAACTAACACAGTTCTGCAATCATCCTTCATGTTGCCCTTAAGTAATGTTTGTTTTAACACTGTCCTTGCAAAGGTAATTGTGTTTTTTAGAGTTAGCTGTTTGTGTTACATGTGCTACTCTCCCCCTCCTTGTCCTCAGCATTGCTTAGACACTTTCCATCCATCCCTTGCCCTCCAAGCTAGTGCCCCCCATTTTTGGGTGACAGTGAAAGGCAACAGACATGTTCCAGTCCCTGGGGAATGCCTGGGATGGGCTCCTCTCACAACTTATCTGTGTTAGGACTTGGAGTGTGGCGGAGCTTTCCTGTGAGAGAGCATTAATTACATCTGAGCCGTGCCAAGTGAGCTAAGCCCTGAGCACTGGGACAAGCTGGGAACGAAAGGAAAAGGACAAATAACACAAGCGCTGCAGCTGTTCAAGGATGGACCTTTAAAAGAGTCGCGGTGTGAGCAGTAGCCGTTTCAGGGAGGTTTTCCTCCTCACAAATAAATCCTGAAATCTGTGGATTTGGGAAAATAATAGTATGAAAACATAGCTCCTATCTGAATAGTTAATGAATATGGTGATGTAATGGTCTCTTTTATATGTGTAAGTCAAATACTTTTGTGACTGGCTTAATTAAAAAGACAGATATGTAGGGGAGGGGAAGAAATGTTCAAATGAAATTTATTTTGAGAGGCAAATGGTAGGGCTGAAATATTTATTTTTTTCTTCCAACTGAGGTTGAGCAATAAGAGCTTTTTTTTGGTAAATTAAAGAGAAAAATAAAGGTACTCGTGACCTGAAAGGAAAATGGTTTTGGAAGAAGGACTTCATTAGATATTTTATAGCTTTTGTAGTTTCACTATAAACAGAACCATTTTATTTTCTGAATTTCACATTATAATAACAGTTGGTTGTGTCAAGTACCATTTCATTGGGGCAGTCACATTCCAAGGTGGAAGGAACCTATGCTTCAGTAACAGGTGCTGGCATGTAAGATCTATTCAAGAGAAGTTGCTTCCTCACTGATTTGATCTGTGACAGTTTCCTAATACTAACTGTAAATGAAATGGATTTGATTGAAGTTGTTGCCTTTTTAAGACAAAAGTTCTTGAATTATTTGACTGAACTTCAGAGCTATTTAGTCATGTTCTAAATACAGCATGCCTTCTTGCATTGTGTGCAACGTTGCTAAATAATTTTGTGGTTTCCCTCCATGAGGAAGGGATTTGCTAGTTAAAATACTTTTAGATTGTTAGAAGACAATTGCAGCAGAAGAGAATTTCTGAATTTGTTTCTTACTTGCATCAAACTACTTAGAATATAAACACATTTGCCAAACAAACATCTAAAGTGATACTAATTTTCTTTCCAATAGGAGCACCTAGACAAGGCAATTGAACTTAAGCCTCAAGATCCCCTTTTATATTACCTAAATGGAAGATGGTGCTATTCAGTAAGTTGTGTTTTATTTATCTAACATATGAATTGAATATACTAAACAATGATAATAAATAGTGGGACTTAAGACAAAGTAGGTGTTTATTTAAGTAGATATATGAGCTAAGTGAAGCAGACATTTACGCTTCTTGAGTTCACTACCAGATGCATGATGCTCACAGCTGACCATTCCTGCAATGTAATTAGATAAGCTGTGCTTGTATGACCCTTGTTGTTGTCTTCAAGTTTTTTATATGAATGAATGAATGAATGAATGAATGAATGAATGAATGAATGAATGAATGAATGAATGAAAAGTAACTGATATTTGGAAGGGAGGAAGGATGATCACTTGAGTTCACTTCTTTATTCTGCCACAAACTTTCTGGGTGAACCTGGGCTGGTTACATAGCCATGTGGTAACTTTATTTCCCATCCATAACTTAAGTTAAAAGCACTTACATAATGCAGGATTATATCTGTGGCAGCAAGGCTACCATACTGGCTTGGTAAATTCCAAGGGAATGTCCCAAAATATTCATGTATAAAAATCTGTAATTCACCAATGAGTTTTGCAAGAGATGCAATTTGTGTTGTACCAGTACAACAGATGCTTTTAAAGATTGTTTTATTATATATTTTTATTTATATTTTATAAAGATTATATTAGGTTATAGTACATTCTGTAGTGATAAATACTCATATATGAAGAATAAAACAGTTGTATTACAAGATGAACTGTTGATAATATTTTTAGAAAAAGTATGCTCGTGCTTTAATAAGAGAGTTGTCTTTTTTGGTAATCCACATCTTTGAGGGCTCAGCTGGCTGTCTGTACTGGTTCATCTCTAGTGCTTTGAGGAAACTTCTGTTGGAAGAAAACATTCTTGCTTTGTCTATGCTGTAAAAGATCACTGTGAGTCTTCTCAGAGCAATGACTGCTAATGCACAGTGAATTCCAGCCAAACTTTTTTCTTTCGGATACTTCCAATGCAAGTCACTACAAAGTGCCTGCAAACTGGAAAGAAGGATTTGCTGTGATGCATTGCAGGCTTTGTCTTTATCTGCAACAAGACTTACTGCAAAGTAATCTTTCAGCAGTTTTTGAGATCATACATTTAACTTTCAAAGAGCTTTTAGCAACCGTGGTTTTTCTCTGATTTGAATAAGGAATGACACCAGCTTTTTCAAGGAACTTGGCTTTTTGCTTTTTGTCACAGTTTACTCTTGAATATCAGCATTAACTATGCAAAAATAAGTTGCTGAAGATGGTCCTATAGTATGCCTGCTGTCCTGCCTCTGAGAAGCATCTCTCTCACCAATGATTCCTTATGCACTCTTATACTGTACTGTAACCAACAGCTAACTGCAGCTTCCATTTATGCCAAATACTCCCAGATGTTTTTCATGGCTTATTTCTTATGTGAGCTGCTGCTTTTTGGAAACACACAATCTCAGTATACCTCACTTTGTTCTTATTGCACTTTTTTTTTTTTTACTCTTGTTTCATTTTCGTGATAATCACCACTTCCTGACTGAGTAATACATGTGGTTTGTTTTACTGTATCGGTACAAATTCATATCCCACACTCACACTTGCAACATCTATGCAAGGCTTCCTTACTAAACATTGAAACCACAGATTAGCATTTGCTTTAGGTCATGACCTGACCTGCATTTATTTAAGTGAAACAATCTACCTAAACAGATGTAGCCACTGAAATGTGTAAGGATTTATTTCATATTTCTGGTTTGGGTTTTTTGGGGTTTTTTTTGGTTTTTTTTTTTTTTTTAATTCTTGCCTTCTGTGACTGCCATGACAAAATAGTAACCTGAAACACATAAATATATTTTTGTACTCTAAATAAATGCAAGTATAGGACTGAATAACATCTTGTTCAACTTCTGGGGCTGTTAGCTCTTAAAAACTTACTGTCTTTGCACACTTCCAGTAGCAGGATGAGGTCATTTGGAAACATTAGTTTTGAGGCATTACTAGTTTTTAACCCTAGCCCAGTGAGATTGGTAATATCCTGACTAGTATTAGAGAGTGAGTTGCTTTCTGTGCTGATCCACTAACACAGGTTTTGGCCATACATGTGCTGTAGGTAGTCACAGGAGCTTGTGGAAGATATGCCAAATTCCTTGCTCCTGTTCTGCAGACTGTGAAGTTTCATGCTGTGGTAATTATCCCAAAAGAAGACTGTTAGCTGTGACATTAGTTCCAAATACTTTGTCAGGGTAGAAATTATGATGGAGTGTTGAAAAATTCCTTTGTCACTCATCTGTACCAGTACCTGCAGATGGAGTAATAATGCTCCTGTTAGATACTCTGTTTTTAATGTTCAGTCTCACTGTTGTTGAGGCTGGGGAGGCTGTGTTGTCCAGTGTGAGAAAATTAAAGAAGAAAAAGGGATGATTCAGGCAAGAAGGTTAGTTTTTACATTTAGCCTAGCTGACTTTGGGGATCTAGGATTGACCACAATATCTGTTCTTTCATAGGTATTGCTTAAAAGCTATATTTGTTCAGTTTTGGTCACATGTTCTTTTACTGAAGCACTATACTTAAAAAAGATAACAAGTCTTTGATATTTTATAGGCTTTGATAACAGTTTTGAGAAACCTGATGTACTGAAGTCTTCCTAGTATAGTCAGATATTTCCCATTCACTCCTGATTTAATGTCAGGGGATCTTATTACTATTGTCTAGAATAGGGTTTTATGGATGGCAAACTGAAAAAATAGGAATTTCATAATATAATGTAAATGGGGATGCTTCAAGTGCAACTTGGTTATGATTAATTTTTACAAATGAAAATCCATTGAAAAGACTTTGGGGTAAAAATTAAAGAGTCATAGAATCAACGAAGTTGGAAGAGACCTTCAAGACCATCAAGTCTAACTGTCGAGCCTGTCACCCCTAAACCAGTGGAGGCAAATGCAGAAGATTTATTGAAGACTGAAGTCTATATGCAGAGACTATATGATGTACTAGTAAAAGCTATTTAATTTATAGAGTTGTGACAGAATTTGGCCTGACTGCCATTTCTCACCTTCATCAGTGTAGCACAGTCCTTTGCAAGGAAGTGGTACAGCACTGCCAAGTTTCTTACTCAGCAGTTATTTTTGCTGGGCCAGAAATGAAGCTGCTGCAAAGTGTCATAGCACCTTCCAGCAGAAAGGATGAGCTGGGTTTTCACTGTCTCACAGCAGCTGGGGTTTGAGCCAGTGACAGTTGTGCTCCACCTTGCCTAAAAATCAGTTTTTGCTGTTTCTTATTTCTCTTACCATTATAAAGTCAACGGAGATGTACAAAAGAGGAGGATAATATAATCATATCTGCTCTGTTGTAAAATTTCTTCTGGTATCACAATTAGGTAGGCAAGATTTTCACCAATTATTTCATAGATGTCATGATGGGCCTGTGAGACGTGCTGTGTATACAAGAAGTGAATGGATCTATGGTGCATGGTATATAAGAATTATTTTCTTAAAGTTTTGGGCACAATTGTTTGATAATTCTTTATACTTGTATATTGGGGAGGGTTAAGTGTTTTAATGTTTCAAATAGCTTGTAGAACTATCTAGTTAAGACTTATGTCTACTCGCCATTACAGGACAGGCACAGAACAGCTAGCATGTACTTGTAAAACTGGATCAGAGTTCTTGGTAAATGCTAGTAGTATGTTAAAAATTAGATCTCCTGGGATTTTCTTTCTGCAGGTTACATGCCACGTTTTGGATTTGTCTCTGGTGTATCTCAGTATCTGTTTGGGTTGCATCAGGGGACAAATTGATCCAGTTCCTTAGAGTGCTTGCTAAGTGGGCTTCCCTGCCTGGAAAATGAAAAGCCCAATTCAAGCTGAATAAATACTTAAATGCCTGTGCAGATTGTCTGGGTTCCTCAGCTGCCAAGAAAGAGAATATTTTTGTTGGAAGCCAGTATTTCAAAATTGGTGTCCAGTTACTTAATCTCTTCCAGAAGTCAAAGCATTGCAAAATGATTTAATACAATTTTACATTAATACATTGTAATGAAAAAGAAAAAGAAACTCTCTGGGGATATTTAATTAGGTGCCACTAGTATTTTACTGAAGCTGTATTGATTGTGTGATTTACCTTTATGGAAGACAGTTGTGTGATATGTCTCTTCAGTGAGCTATTAGCAAAGAAGCATTGGAAGAAGATGTCCTTTAGGGCTGAAAGTCAACCCTGGATGGTTTTTCAATTCAGGCGGGTTAGTTTCCTTCGTACCAACATCCTGGAATTTGAAAGGAGCTGTCAGTGGACAGGGTTTGTTTGCTTCTCATAAAAAACAAACAGAAGACAAAAATCCAGCCTGTGTTTCAGTATATATATATATATATGTATATATGATTTTTGCTGATCCTAAGCTAAGGAAGAGTAAGAGATATTTTGAAATTCATTTTCCCAGTATTTAGGGGAGAAACACATTTTTTGCCTCGGCCCTCCAAGATACAAGAGGCCTGATGGAAGAGTGCCGAGTATGAACTTAAAGTTCAGCTGCAGTTTAACTCTGGGAATGCCTTTCGTCCATCTCTGGATATAATAGAGATTTTGGTAGAATAAATGGATGACAGCTTGTTGACAGATCTGTAGAAGAGGTTGGTTGAGACAAGCATCTCTATTTGCTTTGGGATACTGTAGAGTGGCCTCCTCTCCTTGGCAAAGGCCAGGCTGTCAGGATGACCCACTCCCCTTCAGCTCCGAGGGAGATCAGGAGTTGGCTGATGACTCCTCAGGCCTTTGTTTGTTGCTCTTGAGTGGGTGGGACTAGCTCTCCTTGTGTATGGCAGCTGGGGAGTGATGTTCCTTGAGTGACTCAGTACATTAAAACATGATATTCTGTGGAAACGCAGTGTTCCTTGCAGTGCTTCTCTGAATTTTCAGGCTTCTGGCAGGATTGACATGAGAGTTTAGGAGATCTAAAAAACCAAAACTCACTTAACATTTGGAAATCATCGGTAGGGCAAAACCAATCTTCATTCCTTAATTTTGTTGTTGTTATTGTAGCTATTACTTGCAAAAGTAGCTGTTTGCTTTGTTACCTTCTGCGCTCTGTCACTCTTGGAACACTCACTAAGTGAAATCATGGTTCTGCTGTTGTTGGTGGCAGTTATACTCTATACTTGATTTTGATGCACTTTGCACTATCAGAGTAACCTTGACTGTAGCAGTCAATTCTGCACTACACTAGAGCATGTTATGCCAGGCGTTTGTTTCCCTGTGCTTGCTCATAGACAGAGTGATTAATAACTTGGTATAGTAGACACAATGTTTCCATTTCATTGAACACGGTGTAAGAGTTACTCAAAGTTATTTCAAATTAAAGACTTTGCTTATATGCGTTTAGGGGAAAGGTCTAATTTCCTGTTCATCATTATTGCTCTGGGACGCAATTTTGTGTATTGCATTTAACAGGTCATTTCCATTTGTCCCCCTTCAGTCGTAGAGGGGTGCAGACAGACTCAGGCACAGTTAAGCTGTTGTGATGGGATTCACCTCAGCTGCCTTTAGCTATCCCGAGGGTCTGTGCTCCTTTTGTAGTTGAAGGAAAGAAAGTAAAGAAAGATAGGAGTGTTCATCCCAGGCTAATGTAGGTGAAGAGGAATTGCCTAATGCCTCTCTGTACTGACGATGAAGGGAACCTGACAACTTGTGTGAACTAGGTACTTCATATATGGAGGGCTAGGGTTACTGTGGCAAATTCATCAAGCCAGTGGCATGTAAGTCTGGTTGCTGAAACGTCACAGAATTCTCAGATTGCCTCTGGAATAGTCACAAAGTATAACACTGGATAAGAGTGCACATTAAAAAAACCTCACTATTGCCATGGAATCATTAAGGTTAACACAGCACTAACCCATATCCCCAGGTGCCACACCCACATGTTTTTGAGCACTTCTAGGGAGGTGATTATGTCACTTCCTTGGGCAGCCTTATTCCAATGTTCAACCGCCCTTTCAGTAAAGGAAATTTTCCTAAGATCCAATCCAAACCTCCCCTTGGTGCTATTTCGTCTGGTCCATCACTGGTTACCTGGGAGAAGAGGCTGACCCCCACCTCACTACAACCTCCTTTCAGTGTGGGTGGTTTTGTGTGAAATGTCCATGTGCTTACATGCATTTCACACAAAATGTGCTTACATGCATTTCACTTTTAAACATTGTTTTAGCTTGATGGGATTTGTGTCATAAAAATGGCCGACTGCATATGTTTTTATAAAAGTTTGAGTAGTGCAAAGCAGCACCCAAGCCAGACAAAATAAAGACTAAAACCTCAGTAAATCAGTTCTGATTAAATCTCTTAAGAAAATAAAGTAACTGCCAGGAAATATTTGTGTTTTCAATGGTTAATTATAACTCCTCATGGAAAAACTGCAATTTTGTTTCCTCACTCTTGCATAACAGCAGACAAGACTGTGGTAATTGTATCTGTACAGTGTGTATCTCCGGCGTGTTGTGTGCTCTTCCAGTGTAATACATTCCCTTTATTTTTATCCTCTCTCTTCCTCCCTCCTGATGTGACCTAGAAATACAGAAACCCCCTTCCTCTTCCAAAAGAAGAGAGAGCAAGGCAACAGTAGATTGACATGAAGAAAACAGCACTTTGGCAAAAATTCTTTTAATAACTCTTGCAGAATATGTCTCAGAAACTATACAACAGTGAGAGAAATGAAATGGGAAGGAAATTATATCCATACCTACAATTAGAAGTTTTAAGCAGCGTGCTGCAGTTCATAGCACAGTGAGAACGCACTGCAGGGGCAGCAACATCTTGTTGCTTCAGCGAGTAAGAACTTCATGATTGCTGGAGAGGTTTTGTAAAAAACATCTTATGTTCTTAGAGGAAGCTTCAAGAGCAAGATATGTGAAAAAGAATGATAAAAATAAGCTTTATTTTTGTAATGTTGTTTCTCTCTGGGTTATAATTTTTAGTGCTTTTGTGTGAGACACTTATTGACAACATGTAACAAATAAGGCATTGGGACCCTCCTGAGCAGCTAGCAAGACTTGACCAGGATGCCTTCTGTCTCCAAGCAATGCTGCTCTTATGTAGCTAGAGACATTGGGGCCAGATAAGAAAACATGATCCTGTGCATTTTCCTGTTGCATGCTGGCCTGTACTTTTCATATTTGCAATGGTATTTTTAGGGCAGTTTGCAACAAGTATATAACTTGATGTCTATTCAAAGGAGAAGTATTCTGGGTGGTAGCTGTGGATAGTTATGAGAGAGTGGGTTCTTATATTTTACAGTTATTAACTGACATCTACTGGATGATTGCTGGATATAGGTGGAGCTGGTAGGGGGAATAAACAACAGTCCTGTAGTTATTGACAAGCCAGGGAATGAGGCAGGAATAATCTAAAACCAAGCAAAACCATTTTAAGTTTTGTAGCAGTAGGAGAGACTTGACTTCAAGGCTGAACTCTTGAATTGAAGCTCCTTCTGAAAAACAGATGTCACTATATGATTCATATTTCATCTCCAAGTCTCTGATGAGAGACTCTTGTTCTTTGCCTGTGTGTGCCTCTTGTCTGTGTTGCCTCTGCACAGATCAGGCCAGAAAATACAGAACCTTGTATTTTACCATTCTTTGACTCATCTGCTCTGTGACAGGAGCCTCAGTGCTGTGGTTCAAATAGTGATGTGAAGGAAAAACGTCCTGACTTTTCTTTACAGATGTGGTAGAAGTGTCCAAAGGAACACTCCTCCACTTAAACAGGCTGTTCTTTCACATTGCATTTGTTAGCAACTCCATCCTTTGCTAGAGATATGAGGGTTGGGTGATGGAGCCAAATACCTTATGGCAGTAGCCAGTTTCTGTCAGGTGTCAGTGTTTGTAAGGGAAGAAATCATGTGCATTTTGTGGCAATATGACAGTTCCCTTAAGTCCTTTTATAGCAACTCATCTTTCTGGAATGAGGTCATTGGCAAGTGTTATTTGTCAGACTGGAAGAGCTAAAAATGAAGCCTATTTCTTAACAGTGGTTGTCACCATCTTCTGTGTAATAAATGAACTTGTTATACAAGCTCCAAAAACACTCACATTTTTACTGCAGCAACAGCTTTTCATAATGAAGAAAAGTAGTCAGTGCACAGATTATCATGCAAAGCTGTCTGTCTCATGAAAACCTCAACAAGTTTCAAACTCTATTTCTAGCCTTAGATATTTTTAAAAGGCAAAGTGCTACGAAACCTAAAATGTACTTTAAGCTTTGAACACGGAAGTAATCATACATTGAGAATGCTGGTGTTTGGTCATATCCAAGTCTAAAATCTAAAAGACTGCTTTGAGCTGGCCAAATTTACACTATAAAGCATTCCTTTACAGGTACTTTTCCAAAATACGTTATGTAGGTAGTACAGTACAAAAGACAGTATTTACTGCAAAACTGAGAAGCAACTGTAAAGGAATTGGGTTTTTTAATTTTTTTTTTTTTTTAATTCTAGGTAGCTCAGTTGTCTTGGATTGAAAAGAAAGTAGCTGCTGCTCTCTTTGGGACTCCACCAACTTCAACAGTAGAAGAAGCATTGCAGAATTTCCTTAAGGTAAGTCCTAGCCAAGGGTTTTCCTGTGTTGCTCTTTACCAGCTGTTGTATGTGAATATTGTTAAGATGTCTGTTCAACAGACTATGTTCAGTAGTTATAAATTCAGGGCTCTTCTAAACACCACGGAGCTTTCTAATAACGTATTTTTTTCTTTTCAGTTTTAAAGTTAGTTTGAACATGAATGGTTAGCACCTTTCTTTTTTTTAGTTTCAGGAAATTCTCCAATTAATTGCCATGGTTAATAGTTATTGAATTGAATGTGATATGGATATAGATTAGTTACATATTCTGCTGAAACAAATGAACCATAGTGATAGTGATAATTGCTGATTTGCCTGTTTCTGCAAGAGGGTTGACATAGGCAAGGAAGACTTTGACATTGTGATGCTTCTCTTTTTTCTGATCTGAAACTTTTTTCCATTGAATTTCAGTAGAAGCCTTTCTTATTTGTGGAGATGAAATGGCTTTTACAGTGGAGAAGAAAGCTCTGTTCATATAGGTCCATGTTCCTGGGCATTCTATTTGAACACTGTTACAAGAAAACACCACTTGAATAGAATAAATCTATCTTTTAGTGCTTTCCATTTGAATCACTTCTGCTTCTGGAGCTCAAAAGTGTACAAGTTTTTCACATGACTGGATTCAGAGCATAAACTTCTATCATTACAATTACTTTCAGAAAGTTTTTCAAAGAAATTGGACAGGCATATTTTCCTAACTATCAAAAGTGCTTCTTTTGTGTGTTCTTAGTCTATTTAAAGATTGAATGATTTCCTGAATTTTGGACAGTACAATACATTACCATCTTCTCAGTTTAGGAGATTTTATCTTGAAGGCCAAATTCCAAAAATGGTAGAAATAATTTGAAACATTCACTTTAGCTTCAGGGCATTTTGTGGTTGGCTGCAGAGCGACTGTGGTTTTAAGTCATCTTCAGCAACTAAAATCAAATTACTTTCTAAAAGACAACTGTTTGGGTTTCTTTTTCAGTTGTTTGATTCTACACAATTGTGGTGAAAGCAGCATTGTTTTGGTCGAAGGATTACAGCTACTGTAAATTTCACTGATGTAATTTTTCCCTCCCAAAAGCTGTTTTTTGATTAAAAGATGCTTCTTCATTAGTAGATAATTAGTAAGCGTTTTATTCGTCTTGAAGGCTTCTATATCCTTGATTTATTTTTTTTTTAAAGACAGTATTGAACTTTTTTAATTACCTGAACTTTTCAGAAAACGAATATTTGAAAAGAAAGGTGAATCCAGAGCTAGAACATAAGAGTCTGTGGAAGAGAAATAATTGTAAAAATTGATAAACACAGTTCTTTACTCATTACACTAAGTGTGAATGGTTGATTGCTTTCTTATTTCTTCGATGAAGAAATAAATATTAATAATCTAGAGACAGTGGTATCTTTAAACCTACCCTATAAGTGAATGAATCCAATAGATCTTGTACAGATCTTTATAGAGCACTTAAGGAGAGAGGAGAGCAAGCAGTACAGAACATTTTCGTGTGTTCACTGTCAGCATCTCATGCCTGGTTTAGAGTTTGAGTTTTATATTTTCTTGTTTTCTTGCTTTTTTTTTGAAGTGCTACTAAACAGATTGCATTACACAGAGTAGGGATGATTCCAGCTTATATTTGAGGAAATGTAGTGTGTTACTAAAGCTGTTATGCAGACCACATAAATCTCATCGCGCAAGCTTTATGTCTATTTTCTTTCCTGTTTTTTATTATTTAGGCAGAAGAAATGCATCCAGGATATTCCAAATGCAATTATGTGTATTTGGCAAAGGTAACCAAGTTCTTTTAAAAATAATGATTTGTAGACTCTGGTGTTCTTACAGTGGTCTGATTGGAAACAAAATGTTTTTTCTTCTCAGTGCTATAAAGATCTTGGCCAGAAAAACAATGCACTGAAGTACTGTGATTCTGCACTGTCAATTCTCTCAGTTACTAATGAGGTGGGTATTGAGAGTGATAACTTGTTCCCTTGTGACTGCTCTCTTGTCTTTGGCATCCATTACTGCACTGCCGGTAACAACATAATGTTTCAGTTTTTCTTCTGAACACAGAACATTCCATTTTCCTCCACTCTAGGTTAGCTCATTACAGTTGTCTGTATCAACAGCTTGAAAAAAATCTTTGTTTGGGCAACCGTCAGAGGTTTGTCTGTATCAGAAATTGAATTGTACTCTTTGTAATTCAACCCACTTCATTAGATCATCTTGAGTATAAGCAGTTGAGTGTGTCACTCTAGCTGTGCTGAAATTTTGCCCCAGACCTACATTTTTCTCAGTTGAAAGCACTCTGGATTTTTGTCCAGAGTCTCTGTCTCTGCTCCTGAAAGCTTCTGGTTTGTGGTTCTCGTCATGGGCAGTATGTTAACTACACCAGAGGCAGATGGGGTGTTCAAGATTGGCTTTGTCTTCAACCATAGCGCAGTTAAGGAGGCACAGTTCTTCAAGTCACATCTGCTGGCATATAATTTGTTCTAAGAGATAGCTAGATTCCTCTTGAGGCCCATTAGAGTATTTTAGGCCCATTAGAGTATTTTTGGTATGTGGACACAAAATTTCTACAAATATTTGAGAGATTTAACTTTGTTTAATTTCTCAAATATAAACCAAGTCATGGCAAGAAGGTTCGCTATGTCTGATCTCATGTAGAAGCAAGTTCCATGACTGACCTATGACTGGAAACATCTTACCATCCTAGAGCATGACAAGTTCAAACCTGAGCTTTTTCAGCCTAAGGGACCCCCTCTGAGCACAGCAGATGTGGTATGGAGAGAGAGAGAGGTGATTCCTGAGAGGAATTGGCCCCATCCCATTAAATTCTTTGAAGTTAAGGAAAAAGACCATTAAATAACTCTGTAACTTGATTGACAATAAATGCTGTGTGTGGAGCACTAACGTGTTTACGTCAAGTGTTCCTGCTGGGAAGAAAGACCCCTGCATGCCTCACCAGCCGCTGCTCCTGGGTGGCCTAATTTTGGCCCCAGTTGTAGTATGTACCAATCATAAATTAAGTAATCATTGCTTAAGTTCAGTGTTTCTTTAAATATGTATTGATACTGATATGACATGAACAATTATTTAATTCTCTTTATTCTTTGCTTACTATTAAAATATACCTTCAGCTGGCCTATTACAGAACATGGGAAAGGCTGCTATAAGTTATCTGTTTAATATCCCATCACATTTCTGAAGTATCAGCAGACCTGAGAAGGAGCCCTGAGGTGAGAGCAGTCTGAGGGATAGGTGTATATATTCTGGCAAGCAGTGTCGTGATGAGAATAAGAATTACACTGATTTGTGAACAGAAGAGTGAGCGTCAAATGGACCCCAAAAATCTTTTGTCCATCTGAAGAGGACAAGATTATTTGACCTCTCCTGTTTTGACTAATTCTATAGATATCACAGATTTGTCTCCTTTATTTGTGATGTGTTTTGAGTTAAATTTAGAAAAAATGAGTCCAGAAGAATATGACATTAGGGCAGTAGTATGTAATTCAATTTTAAGAAAAACAACCAAGCACTCAGCACAGGGTAAAAAAAAACGAGTTCATGCTGAAAGAAATTACTGTGAAATGGAGATCTGGAACATGAACTCTGCTGTTGCTGACTGTTACCTCAAATCTCATCTGAATTCAAATATTACATGTTGTTTTGGTTATTGTGTTACAGAAAGACTGTTACTGATTTTTGGGAAAATGTGTTGGGAGTGAAGTGGTTCAGGGCTTGGAGCTGTATGTAGGAATAACATTTAGTGAGATTAGTTAAAGAGGGAGAAGAGACTGTAATAAGACTGAAGAGGCATTGGGGAGAGAGTAATAAACAGATGCTAATAAAGTGCCGGAATTGACTGCAGCCCTGTAGAAGATGGGGTTTGTGGTCTGAAAAAAACCCATAGGTCAACAGCAGTCTGAGGATTTCTTTCCGTTTGCCACAGCTCAGGATCTCAAGATTGTCAGCAGTGTGGTATTTTGTCACAGTCATGTGAAACCCGTCATTCCCAAGTGTAATCATAGTTTCTCGTATGAGTTTTCTCTTTCTTCAAGCAGGGGAATTCCTTTATTGTTTTTAAATGTTGGCTTCTATGAGAAACATGTATTTGTATAAAGGCATAAAATCAGGAGCAGACTGAGAGAAAATGTTGCTGGAAAGGTGCCACATTGAGGTAACGTATAGTATTTCATGTTACAAATCATCCTGCAGAAAAATAATTATAGACAATGGTTTACTTTTTATTGCTTCCGAGCATCCACAGTTTCCAGTGACTTCTGGGAACCAGAGGTGCTTGACATCAGTAAAGTAGCCTATAGCTCATTCTAATCCTCAGGTCAAATTCTCAGCTGCTGCAACTCAAGACACTTCTTTGACACTTTTTCTAGGATTCATTTCGTGTAACATTTCGAGTTAAGTGATATTATTTTTGTCTTGAATGTTATGTCATATCCAAATATCCCTTCTGTGCATCTGTTTTACCATTTACAGAATTAGTTTTAATTCAAGGGTAGAGGGGCTTCCAAATATACCTAATTGTTGTTAAAGGAAAAAAAATCAGATGGGCCTGTTTCAAATCTATTCTGAATCTTAAAAAGGATACATAGAAATTATAAAAAAAGAAACAAGTTCTGATTGAGTAAGTCCTGTAAATTAAGAGTTACAGGAGGATTTTTAAAAATAGGACAGTTTTTAAAAATAGTTTGGCACATCTGTCTATGCATTTTTTTTATTTTAAAAGGAAATATGTGAGATTTGGTTCAAATTACATCTGGAAAAACAAAGCTGATATTACAGTGCAACTTTAAAGACCTTTCTCTATCCTCTCTAAACAAAAAACCTCCAATGAATCATACAGTCCTTCCTTGGCCGTAAATAGTGTCGAGTGGTACTTCACTGCTGGAGGTGCATGGGACATTAAATTGTCCAGTTTTTCTCTGGTTGCTACCCAGGTGGATAACCTCAGGGTCCTGGGAAACATTTGCCCCCTCAGTAAAAGAGATCCCCATGTTCAGGGCTGCTGTGAGTTATTGTAAGTGCTTAACAGCTGCTCTGTTCATCTAGTGGATGTTGCATTACCCTTACTGAGACTCATTACTTTGTAGTGTGCTCAAAGCCTTGCTGAGTGTGACTACATGAAGGGCTGTTGAAACCAGATGTGGTAGACTATTGTGGTGGAACAAAATTACTTTTTAAAATTTGAAGGCCAAAGTATAATTATATAATAATATAATCTATAATTATATATAATAATAATATAATTATGAATATTATAATTTTGAAATAATGAGTGTCTTGCATACAGAAAGACAGAGCAGGTATGTGTGTATTTGTGTATGTGTGTGTGTGGTTAAACATGTGGTCCTTTGCTTGTAAGGGGAAGAAGACCCTGATTTCTTGTTTACAGTGAAGATTGTCGGAAATTTTCAAGGCTGGAACTCATCAAATTTCAAGTCTCAATGTAGGATTATAAAGTATTAATAGTCACAGAATTATTGCTTCTTGTATCTGGAAACGAGCATGAGCGTGACAATGAGCTCTGTGCTTATAGGACCAGTAAGCTTACCACAAAGGAGTTAACTGCCTAGTAGAGAAAGAGATTAAAATTTTAAGGTTCTAGTCTCTATTACATTTTTTTAAAAAATTAATCTGAAAAGCAGCAGTTGTATTACAAAAAAGTGTAGTCTTGGAAGAGATGAAGACAGGAAAGCTGGAAAAATGCAAAGGAACTCTATTTGCACTGAGTTGCTGAAAGTCTTACTTAAAATGTAGATAAAAACTTTCCTAAAAAAGAGTTTTTTCTAAGAAAGTGTTTTACAAAATTATTGGTGATTTTGTGGACTCCATCCTTCCCGGTAATTAGAAATTGTGGCAGTTCAGTGTTGAAATTAACAAGCAAGAGAGATTTAGATATCACAGAAATTCATGATTATGGCATTCACTTCTTACAGGTAAAGAATTGCAGGAAGCAGAGACTTAAA